TCTTAGGAGGCTCCATTTTTTAATAGCCTTTATGATTGTGTGTTCAACCTTTATGCCTCTATATTAGATAATAAATTCCAATAATTCTTTGAACTCATATTGAACGTGCACTTTAAAGGATTTCTTTTATGATCACATTTATTGAGGTGCTTGAAAATAGCTTTCAGGTAAATAATATGATCTTCTTTTAGATGACTTTTAATACCTACATAATGTATATAAAATTCTATTTGTTAATATGGTAAGCCATTAAAAATATGTCTCATAGCATGTTGATAGGTCACCCAAGAATTTTTCAAGCTAAAGGGCATAACTTTATAATAAAATACATAAATGGGAAAGCAAAAGGATGTATCTCACTCATCTTCTAAGACCATCTGGATCTAATTATATTCAGACAAGTAATACATAAAAGATAATATTATATTCGATGATGCAACACCAATCATCAAATTTGAAAATTTGTAAGAGAAAAAGTTCTATGCAAACTCTTATAGATTTATTTTTCTTGTGAATAGGTACAATGTTCATTAACTAGTAGGGTACATTTCATGCCTGATAAATCCAACCACGATAAGCTTTTAGATTTCTTCAATAACATTTTGCTCTATAATAGAATGCAATCTCATGAGAACTTGCTTAATAAGAGATGAAGCAAGAGTTATGGCCAATTTATGCATGGTTACCTCGTGAGGCAGGTTAGGCATTTCTACATAATTCTACATAAGCAATAAAAAAATTTCCTTAAAACTTCTATAATTTCCTAAGCATAGAATCTAACAAAGATTTGTTGATATAAGTAAAATGAGGATCATCATCGGTATCTAAATTAACCTGAATAAGTTCATTAATAGTCAAAGACACTCCAACCTTAAGTTCAAGAAATGAATCATTAACATCAAACTCATAATTTACACATTTATCAGTACTATCCTCACACTTTATTGTAGAAATCATTTGACATGAAGCAAAAGCAAGAATAATTATATGTGTAAAAAACATATAATTAATTATTTTCTAAGAAGCTCTATTTTGCCACATGCTCTTGAATGTTTTAGCCTGAAAATGGTTCACTTTTTTGGAAAACAAATCATGTAGCAAAAATTTAACTAATGAAGATTGATAATAAGAAAATAAAATATATTTAATTATTTTATTATTATTATTAAGAATATTACAGCAATAGAATTTTCATATTTTTCAATGTTATAAAATTTAAGAGCACTCTCACTATGTCCTACTCTAAGAGATATAGAGAAAACATGTAGTTCATCAATGGATAATACATTTATAATAATGAAATATCTAAAGTGTTTTCATGGTATAAGCTTGATAGTCAACCCATAATTCAATGAATCATAACGGGATAGTTGAGGCACCAAGTATACTAATCCATTAAAATCAAAAAATCTTTCATTATCAGAATCTTCTTACATGAAGAAAGTCTTCAAACTGGTAGATATTTAAATAAATATAGCCTCATGCATGTGTATATATGAATATGGTTTGAATTCATTGATAGAATTAGAGTAAGTAGATTTTCTCCACTAATCATAGAAAAGGTGCATCGACCTTTTTCTTATTTTACTGTCTCTCATCATCTTTTGGAAAAGTGGGGACTAATAGGTAAGGGGTTTGTTTGTGTTAATAGACACTTAAGGATGGCAAAAATAGATTTAATTTAAGGAATATCAAATTTTGTATCATCATAAATTTTAATCTCATTAGTAGGGAAGGGTTGCGAATATTCTGAAACAAAAACTCTTCTCTTATCTTAGTTTATTTAATACACTAATAGGGTGCTATTTTGTATTCATGTATCCATGGTCATCCCAAAAATGCTTTATAATAGACATTATCATCAATCACATGGAATTTTTCTTGATTGACACAAGATATGCTTAGCCTTATAAGGTCCTTCTATTTCATCAGTCAATGCAAGATAACTTTGTATATATAAGGGTCTTCTATCGGACCAGTTGACACAGGTTATGCCTAGGCTAATTTTAGCTTTTTGTTATTATTAATGAATTGATGCAAAATATACCCTAATCATTTGAGTCACTTTGTGTTATGAGCTTTAATATAGGATAAGCCTTAGCTCATAAGAATTTTATTGGTGCACATTTTGCTCTAGCCACGTTTAGCTTTAATTGACGATCTTTGACATAGGATATGGTCTAATTAAATAACAACCTGTTATATTATCAATTTATGTAGGATATGACTTGGTTAAATTAATCACCGATATATGATATTTTTTCTTAACAAGATTCTTCTCATTGATAAATCAACGAAGAATATTCTTTGATCAGTTTAGTTTTGTAATCATTGAGTCTTGATGCAGTATATGCTCTTGTTAAAAAGATTTTGTTTCCACTAAATTGATTAATGTAGGATAATCTCTAATCAATAAATCTTTGGTATGAGACATGCCCAAACTAAGAGGATATGATGCCCACATAAATACTAATTTGAAAACATAGGATATGCTCTGATTAATTTGATAACTAAGATAGGATATGTTTTGATTGATTTGATCACCAAGATAGGATAATAAGGTTGGTTTCCTATCAGAATTATCCTAACATAAAACATGCCCTAATTAATTTGATCCTCTTCTTATACTTGTGTGAAGATTTGATCAATTGATATAGAATATGTTTTAATTAGAGATTGCTTTGAAAAAAATGAATTCTTGTGCATGATATGCCATGTTTTAGTTCAGTCTTCTACTTGTTGGATTATTGAACTAAGAAATACCCTAATCAACTTACTCAAGTTCATTGACACAATATGTCCCAATAAACAACATCATGTTGTCTCACATTGTAAGACATGTCTTAGCCATTGAGATTTAATCACATTTCAATTTGATGGTTCATGGTAGAATATGTCTAGTATGATTGTGATATAATGCCAATAGGTGCACTATGTCTTATAGACATAACTTGCCAGTTGATGGTTTGTTTGTTGGCATCTTTTTTTGTGGATCATAAATGGATACACTTTCAAAATCTTACGACCATTTTATATCCTCATGTGATATAAATGACCCAAAACATCCATACGAGTCATACTTTGTTTAAGGAAACAACACCAAAAATAACCAAATACTGCACAAAGCCTTATAGTATACCAAGTAACTGGGCACCAATGTGTTGCTCCTACACTTGGTGTGATACATATGCACCAGGGTCAACATAACTACTTCATTTTGTAGCGTCTCAATAACTTGCTTTTGATTTTATTGCCTTTGCTTCGCAACACTATCGTCAAATTTTTAAAAATATTTTTTACCATTTCTCCTACCACCCAGCTAAAGTTTGAGAATGTCCAAGGAGAAGATGGGTCGTATATCAAGGGAAAAACACCGAGCTTCTTGAGAAAGTTGAAAGGGCCGAATAAAAAGGAAATAAATAGAGTTATTAAGGCAGCTTAGAGAAGCATTTTGTATAGCTTTCGTGAGGCCTAGAGAGGTTATGAAAAAAATGTGAGAAGAGAGAAGAGAAGAGGAAAGCTAAGGTGAAAGCTGAAGAAGGAGGTGGTTGTCATTCCTCCTACTCTTGCAAGATGGAAAATCCGGTGTATAGGAGATCAATTGCAACCTCAAATCATAAGAATATTTTCTCTCTCGATATCTCCTACCCCCTTAGAACTCTTAAGGTTTCTTTTTAGAGCACTATGAATAAGCTGATATTAAAGAAAACTAATTCCTTAAGTGTCATCTCTCTCTTGAGCTATCCAAAATCTATTTCCTTCTCCTCTTACAGTTATAATTTTGGTATCAAAATCTTGATACCGTGATTTTAATTCTTGCCTTTGCATAATCATCCTTCCAATTTGGTGAACTTGACAACGATACACCTATGGTGGTATAAATTATGAGAACTTACTCCTATGATAATGGGATTTCTTCTTAGAAATCTATATGCTCTTATAATTGACCAAGTAAAATTTAAATATATGATCATACTATGTTATGGTATGATTGATATTATATTTTCATATTCTTAACATCAGTGAGATCGATCGGGTTGTAAGCTAGAAATCCATCTACAAATGGAAATGAGAAAATATGTTGGCCACATTTTCTCTTAATCAATGTCAATACAAAATACCATCTACAAATGGAAATGAGAAAATATTTTCTCATGAATATGAACAGCTAGAGAGGGATTACTTAGAAGACTTGTTGATTTACATAATTGATTACACTCTCAAATTATACTTCAACCACTGATGTAATTATTTATTGGTTTTGATTTTCAAAGCAATGCTTTAGGTGGATCAAGATATGGTGCTAACATGATTTGTTTGCCATGGATCATTCCTTACACTACTTTCTTTTGTTTATATTTTTATTTTAACACCAGCTTAATGTTGGATTGGACAATTCTTTTGTTATTGTAGCTAAAGCATTTACTTCAACATTAAAGGCATATAGAGAAGTTGCGATTACACGCACACGCACGCGCGCACACACACAAAGATAGTTGGAAATGTCATAGAAGACATATAAAGAAGTTGAAGGAGTTTCATAGAAGATAGAGAACAGTTGAGTTTACACGTGCACACCCACACACATGCGTACGAAAAGCTGGGAATTTCATAGAAGCTAATAAAGAGAAGTTGCGAGCACACGAAATGCTGGGAGTGTCATAGAAGACATAAAAAGAAGTTACGATTAGGCTTAGCAACCTAAAGATTACAATTTTTATTGTTTTGAATACTCTTTTCCATCACTACCATGACTGATTGAATAGAAGAAATATTACGTGGTATTCTGATGATAATACGATGATATTCACTACAATAACACCACAATATTACTAATCTGCATGCATCATTCGAATAGAAGAATTACAGTGCATAATCATAAATTTATAAACAATATTATATAAGGCAGGAGGAAACATTGGCCCATCTTTCATTCATACAAGATTTTATTTAAAGCGCTTACAAGCAGAACTAAATTATATAATTGGTTTACAGAGAAAAAATTTCTAAGAAAAGTGCTTGTAATTAAAAAAAAGAGAAAACTATTCAACTGATCCACCCAACAAATAAAGAATTAAAGTCATTCCCATTTTACTGGAATAAAACAAGTAATCGTTTGTAACAGCCAATCTACGGAATGAAGAACCTTGTGAAAAATTGTAAGTACATACTAGAAACCAGTCCAGTTGCTTGGTTTGTTTGGGTCAAGTTTCTTCTCCAACCCACTGACAAATCTCCGGGAAGAACCGACCAAAGAAGAAGCATCAGTACTGGGAACCTCTGAGTTAAAATGGGCAGTAACATAATCACCCTGGTGAAATCCCCCCATTGGTTGGCCAAAACAAGCCCAAGGTGTTGCTTGGCAAGGGCATTGGCTTTGGTTAATCGTCGAAGGCTTGCCATGGCTTGGCCTCATGAATGGGTGCCGAAGGTGCTGGAAGTGCTGCAACTGCCGTGGTGCTTGCAAGGATCGCTTTCTCGAGTTCCAAGAGATTAGGGTCGAACTTATCCTTTTGCTGCAATAAAGGAGCATAATTTTAATGGATATCATTGTCATCACCCTCATTCTACATTCATGAAACCAATAAAACAATAAACAAGTAAGAAGTGCAACAAGCCGGAATTTTTTTAGTAGAGGAAAGGAATTAGATATTTGAAAATAATCCAAGGGAATAACCATATTTTACTCCATTGTGAATAAGGAAGAAAAAAATTAAGTTTTACCGACTTTAATATAGGTTTCCATCCAAAGTTTTTGCCTGGACTATGGAATTAAATAGCCATGGTCATTCTTACATTCTTGTCAATGGTTCCTAGTAATCAATTCAAGTGCTCGTGGTTTCAGGCAGAGATGTTCTCCATAGAATACTTAGCATGCAGCCAGCAAAGACTGAAAAAATAGTTTTCTCCGTAGGTCCTTCCTTTACTAGCATTCAATTTATGGATGCCAAGCTGCTTCGGCGTCTTAAAAATTATCTCGTTGTTATCTGAAGGAGCTTCAGATCTAGAAGCCTATGCATACTCTTTCTACCACATGGTCTCTCGAGTCATGCTCCCATCTTAGTTTTCATTCTACGGTGTGAGATGGGAAAGTTATCTTTCGAATATTTTGGTTTCCTTTCCGTGCCAAAAAACCAAAGAAGTTCGCTTGGTGTCTATTATTGACAAAGTGTTTATCTGGTTACAAGAATCAGAAGTTGGGTAAAGCAAATGCAGAAGTTTTGAAATTTCAGGCGTTCAACAGGAAGAAAAATAAAATTGAGTTAACTTGTTGAGGGAGTTGGAAGTCTCAACAAATTTCATTTTCGGTGCATTTGGAATTCACCAGATTTTGGTAAATTCCATATACAATGCACATAAGGAAGCCTCCCCAACCCCCATGTATGTAACAAAGCATTCGCATTGCACCTGGAGATGAATCAAACCGCGGCATTTGCCCAACCAAACCAAAACAGCGCCCCATCTCGCATGCCCCATACCCTCGAGCTCATGCTTGACAATTGACTGCATGTTGATGGTCAATTGCTTGATGACGTTATCCCAAGACTGCAATGGCAATGCGACATGCTCTGGCGCTTGATGACCTCAGCCCTCAACCCACATATGACTTCTGTTCCCAATAGTGCCGTGCCATAGGCTAGCTTATATTCTTCTTTGTTCTTAATTAAGATTAATCTAACTTTCAACTAAAGATACTACAAGCACTTACCTGAATTTATTTCACAATAACCACAAAATTTTCAGTATTTAAAATTACATATTATTTACCTTACACTACATTTTAAATACTTGCAACTAAATAGTCCCCAAAAAAAAAAAAAAAAGTTAGCTCTCTAGATATCTAAATAAGGGGAAGACTAAAACTCATTATTTATATACCACTTGCTATTCCACTTTATTTCCTTTCTATTTTTCATATGTTGTAGCATGTGATCAACACCATTTATAAGACTACGTGCGCTTACTTATGAGTTTAAGGGCTGATAGCCTGGTACTGGTCAAAATGTAAAAAAAAATGTCATCTTTGAGCCTTTGGGTGGACTTGGGATTATTAATCTCTAACGTTTAAATATGGCTCTTTAGGGTAAATGGATTTGGCATTTAATTTTGGTTAAGAATGATTCAATGGCTGGCTTTATTATCAAGGAGAAATCTCTCTCCAAAAGCTTGGCATTGATTTTTCGAAGGGTAAAATTAATACCGCTTCCCATTTAATAGAGATATTTGCAAGCACAGGGACATTTCTTTAATAGAATTGCATGGACCAAGTCCTTTGATGGTTCTCTCTCATTCTGGAAGGGTAATTGGCTGTGCTTCTATCCTTTAGCTTTGGTTTTCTCTAATCTCATTACTTGACACCAAAACTTTGGCATTAGTTCTCGATTCTATACTTTGCAAATCTTTGGACCATCCAATGAAACTCTATTCTTCAGACTTCTATGAACTTATCTGCTTTGAAAATTTACTCGGCTGTGAACTAATACTCAATTCTCTCAGGAGGATACAGCTTGCTGGTGCGCGATGGAGAGTTGGTATACCCCCTTAATTATCATTATCATTATCATTTTCTATCTGGCTATGGTCTTTATTACCTACTTGACACCCTCATCTAAATTGTTTGTATCTAAAGATCACTATTTTATCCTGATTACTTGTTTGCAGTAATCTTCCCTACCATCTTCATCTAACAAAATATTGAAATCGCCTTCACCTCATCCATGTGGCTTTGTGATGAGAACGAGAGAAGCATTGACCTCCTCTTTCTTTTCAATTCTCTACCTATGGAGTAAGATCAATTGTGCCTTGACTTTAATAAAGCTAATAACCACTCAATATAATGGCTACCACCTGGAATGCCATCTCATATAATAATAGGCACTGTGGGATCCTATTTAACAACCACCATTTTCTCCTCTAGTCTATCTCAACCGTTAGATCAAAATTGTTCATCTAATCCTTGCTGCAAATATGTAACAACCTCTGTTTTTGTAACAGGGACCTTTCACTAATATCTGTATTAACACTAAAAACAGTTACACAGTAATGGCCAATAAAAATGCATCACAATATTGCTTCTTCCTCGAATATAATATTCTCTATTTTCCTTAATACTCAACTCTATTATGGTATTAGAGCACCGTAGCCTCATGGCAACTCAAACCAAACCTTCTCCCCAGCTTCCCAGGTTCCGCATCCCCCTCATGGCCCCATCCAACTAATCCACAATTAGTTAACTTGTCACTGATAATCCTATTTTACTCAAAATGGGCAACATCTCCACACCAGCCCAACCCAACTTCTTGATGTCCAAAATCAAGAATATTATTAAACTACAGTTAATCACAGACAACCATCCCACATTGTACTCACAAGGCTACAAGTTATTCAAGACCAAGGGTTGAATGGGTGAATTGATGTCTCCACTCCAAAACTGAGCTCCAAAACAAAGCAAACAGCTCATCACTGAAGACAAATACGTCATTCCCAACCCTCACTTCAACATAACCATCCCACATTATACTCTCATGTCTACAAGCTATTGAAGGCCAATGGCTTCAATGGATGCCTTGATGTCTCCACTCCAAAACTGAGCTCCAAAGCCGAGCTCCAAAACCAAGAAAACAACTCATCACTGAAGACAAATCCTTCACTCCCAACCCTCATTTCAACATTTAAATGCTCCTTGATAAAAAACTCTTGGTTTGATCCTGACTGTTTATATGCAACAGTATAACAATGTCTTTAATTATAATTTTCACTTATATTTCCTTACTTTGCGACAGAACCAAAAACTTGACCCGAAGAAAATAAGAATTTAACTATTTAATTTATATATATTGGGATATTACGCAAATATACATATCGTTATCAAGTAATATAAGACTTTTTGATTAAAACCTGAATATCGAACCCACAGGAAAATTAGACAATATGCACTATTGAACAACAAACTTTCTATTCTAAAAAGATAATTACTTAAATTATAGATATTTTCACAGTATTAAAATTCAAATCTTTTTTTGGTATTTTTGATATTTTGACAAAATAATAACTAAATAAGATAACTTGAGTTTATGTTAAAAGAAAATCACTTGATATGAAAATATTTTTCTTCTTATTATGAATATGTAATAAGTATAAGAATTCTGTTGTGGAAGTATTTTAACGTGTTTTGGCAAATAGGAGCAATTATATTATTTACCCTTACTAGAGATGTTATAAAGAACATTGACTAATTTAATGTTTGAATAGTTCTGAAGACCGACTAGCCACAGAAGATGTGGACCAACTCTCACTCTAGAGTTCCCTCAATTCTTTCCACTTGGGGGCTAACATCTCGTATCAGAACCTAAAACCATAAACCAAGTTGGGGGCTTTAACCTGTCACTTTAAACTTCTCTAACTCTACACCATTCAAAGATTATTTCCCTATTTATTTCATATGAATCATATGAATTACATTCTCATTCATACAATCTCATATGATTCTTTCCAATTGTTGACTGAGACAATATCATCCAGGTTCTTACATGTTCTCACAACAAATTTTAACATATAGATGGGTCAGATCAAACAGTAAATGAAGTACATGAAATTAAATCATCACAACTTCTTCCAACATTAAAGATTAATACTCTCCACAACTTCCATCCAACACTTTAATTTACTTATCATTTTAAGGAGAAATATAAAAAAATTACTCATAATCCATGGAGAAAACAAAACCACACTTTAGTTTAAAAATAGAAATCATTGTCAAACCAATAAGAAATTTCAATTAAAATCAAAAGTAGTTTAAAAACAAAAGATAAAACCTTATCTTAAATTCTCCACCAAACTCTTGAAATTCCTTTGAATCTCTTCTCTTTTACAATACTCTCAAAATAAACTAAAAACAAAAAAACTAAAGTAAATTTGTGTAGTGCCTGAAAATCTATCCAAAACCATCTCTCAAAACTCCTTAGGACTCCTCTTCAAACTCTTTTCAGAACTTTCAAGCACCCCCTTCAAATGTTTTAACTTCCTTTTATAAATTTTCCAACAGTTGCCTTGAAAATTCTTTAAAATGTGTCTAAATTCGATATATTTTCCAAGGGAAGCCTCCTGTCACAAGTCTTTTAATAATATTTTCGTTCCTAGTGGTCATAACAACCATCTTTAGCCAATAGATGCCTCAAATGTCTCTTCAAAATTCGACAAAATGAAGAAAATCACTAAATAACTACCTCTGGCGCTTAAGCGCGGGGCCTCTGGCGCTTAAGCAGGTGCTTAGGTGCGACCTTCTCTGTTTCACCAGCGCTTAAGCATCGGATTTGACGCTTAGGCGCCAAAAATACTTTTGGACAAATTTCACATTTTTGCTCCAAATTTAATCCCTTTTCACTCATTTTAGTATTTTTTAACTTTTTACTTGTACCTGCAAGAAAAACACACAAATGTCTTCCATTAAATCGCAATATCTCAAAAATATGGATAAAAATGCGTCAAAAAACACTACATATTTTAGGTGTATCAAAATCCCCCAAACTTAAAATATTACTTGTCCTCAAGTGACACTTCAATCTTTAAAAATTAAATAAGTGTGATATGTATATGAGTTTCTTTAGGAGTCACTAAAATTTAGATTTAGAAATATAGTTCTCCAATTTTAAAAAAAATATTCAGTAAATAATAATTGGTGATAAATCATTAAAAGAAGTGAATATTTTAGATATCTCCGGTCTATTGTTCAAAGTGATGGTGATATAGATGAAGGTGTTTTAAATATAATTAAATTTGGATGGTTGAAGTGGAGGAATGCATCAAGCCTATTGATTGATAGAAAAGTACTTAAAATTTTATAAGATGGTAGCGAGACTTGCAATGCTTTATGACACAAAATGTTGACCTGTAAAAGAGAAGCATAAGATTAAATGTTACTAAGATGAGAATGCTCAAGTGGATGAGTGGTTTTACACTTATAGACAAAATGTGAAATGAAGATATGTGTGACAAGGTTGGAGAAGCTTCAATGACAGAGTCACCTTAGATGGTCTGATCACGTTAAATGTTAACCATCTGATGACCATTGTTAGAAGAGTAGATGTTTTAAATTTGACTTAAATTAAGAAACATAGAGGTGAACCTAAAAATATTTGTGCATGTAGTATAAAAAATGATCTTAATTAATTAGAATTAAATGAATATATGACACTCAATATGACAATGAAAAAAATTGATTCACGTAGCCGACCCCACTTAGTGGGCTAAAGTCCTGTTATTGTTGTTTTTATTGTTATTTTGACGATGTTGGGGTTTTATTTGCTCTTTGTTGGTTGGTCATTTTTGAAACCGGCTATTTCAAGCACTCTACTTAACCACTTTTGTAATTAACTTTTTTTTAAATAAATGAAATTTAAGTCAGATCCCTTTTGACAGTGCTTCTCTATTAAAATTTTAAAAAAAGAAAGAGATGTAAATAAGAGCATAATGTCATTCAAATGTTTTGATTATTTTGCAATGAGCATACACAAATCAAAGATTTTCCTTACAAAACAAATAGTTTGGAATTTGCTTAACAAAACACAGAAGGTGAGACAAACTTGACCATCCACCGCAATGTAAGATCTTGGTCCTTTGTTAAGAGGAATATAGACTTATTTCCTTTTTTTAATTAAATTAAAAGGAAAAATCATCAAGAGAACTTTTTGTTAACCCCATAAGCTTGATAATAAATACACTAATGAATGATCTATTAGGATTTTTCATTTTTGTGCAGACAGAGTTAAGCCATCAAGATCAACATCCATGCATATAAAGATGACTATTTAGTCTACAAATCTCTTTTTCGTTTTTTGCATCATATGTAATTTTGTTTTTTGCATCATATGTAAAGAGATATATGAACAAAGAATTGAAGTAAGTTAGCAAACAAGCAAGAAAATATTAATTCAATCAAAATTATTTTTCCTGGTAAACTGATTCCTATTTTTTATTATATTATACCTCAAAGATTAGGATATATAGTACAAATATATTCAAAAACTCTTTTTTAGATATTATACTAATATAACTTAAGAAAACAAAAACATTGGAGGAATATTATAAATTTGAAATATGAAATTTAACATGGTTTACAAGACTTCGTTAAAGAGCACGCGTCAATAACATTTTTTGCATGCATTTGCAGTGTTTTTCACAATGGTAAAATGTAAAGCAACAATGTTAAAACTGCTACTTTATCTCTGTGGTTGTAATCAACAGTAAAGCCATTTAACAAAAAGTTTTACTAATTCATTCATGTTTGCTTTTGGACTTCTAATTCTATAATCTCAATTATTTATCCAAGTTAGATGTCGGTCAACCAAATGAAAGAAGTGTCACGGCCTTTTATTATGCATTGAAACATGATGAATATATAACAATTTGAAGACATATAAGATGCTTTGGGATATATTAGATGTGTATGACGGTACAATAAAATGAAAGAAACTCAAATTAACCACAATTAAATAAGTGGCCTTGCAAAGAACCTTGGTTGGCTCAGGTTTGGAAAGCCTAGCATAGATCACATGTAATTCTTTATCTCAATATCCTCAATTACACAAGGGCATGTATTCATGCGCTAGATGCACAAAATCTTGAGTCTGCATACTTGTGCCAAAAATGTCAGCCAAATTTCTTGACCTTTTGACCAGCATGAAATGACTTTAACCCAAATTATGAATCATATATCTGCAGTAGTTCCTAGGGTATCAACTTCATTGAGACTACGGATTAGAACAATCCAAAGTTTTGCCTAACTCTAACATCATGGTCTTGAAAATTTGGAGATGCCAACAAGAATTTGTGGCTTTCTCAAAAGAGGGAGTCAGACAATACGAGAGAAAACAACCAAAATCAAGGAAAAAAATATATATGAGTGCAATTTTTTTTGATAAGAAGGTAATGATTAAAAAACTGAACATTAAAAAGAAAGTAATCATATAGGGTTTGCTTGTGGCGTCAAATGAGACAAGGCAGGTGGATTGCTGCCCCACTCTCCCACAAATAAAAATTTTAGCAAAGGAATTTAAGGATGCAGGGTATGGCAATGACTACCACCTTGTAATAAAAATGAAGTAAAAGAGTCAGTAAGCATACCAAAGTTGTAGGTTGAAAGCTAGCAGGAGAGATCTGGCTCTTTGAGTTGTCTTTGTTTGAAAGGGATGTGGTAACTGCAGAAAGGGAACGTTTCAGCTCCTGGATTTCCTTTCTTTGTGATTGACAAATAGCTATCATTTTCTCATACTTTGAGGCAATTTCAGCCTTCTCCAACTTTGCTTGCATGAGTTGGTCCTTCAAATTTTTCACTTCTGAACTCTGCTTTTCAATGGCTGACTTATTTTCACCAATTACTTTACCACTGTTCCCATTACATTGCTGACTGGTATCAAGAATAACTACAGGCGCATCAAGAGAATTGTTCCATGACGTTGCTTGCATCTCGGTATTCAATGGGTTAATCCTTCCAGAAGTATGCTTCTTCTCTATGACTTCATGGACATCATCATTTGGAAGGGCTTTATCCTTTTTCACTTGAAAGCCCAAAGAACTGTTAGAATCTCGCGCATGACAAGTGGACCAAAATGAACCAATCTGAGCCACAGACCCGCTAGCTTTTGCAGTGGACGGGGAAGGCTTGGGCTGCTGCATTTCCTTATTGGATGGGACTGAGGTACGTTTACCATGTTCTTTAGATGCAATGGGAAAAGGGCTCCCTTGAGAAACAGTATTAACCCTTTTAGTAACACCTAAAAACATGTTAACCGATTAGCTAAAGAAAAGCTAGTTTATGTTGCACCAAAAAAACAAAAAAAAAAGAAGAACAGAACTTCACAACAAACAATCACTTCAACAGAGCGGTTTACTTAAAAATGGCTCATTTGCCAAAAAAGGGCCAAAGCCCAATAGTTTCTCAAATTGGAAAAATAGCATTTAAAGGGCAACAATTTGTGATATCCAAAAGTACAACACAAGTGATATAATACTAAAAATGAAGTTTTATGTAGTTATACCAAAAAAGGCTCCATGAATATTCTTTACAAATGAATTTTATTCACCCCTCATTTAAGAACATTCATTTAAATGTAGCTTAATTTACAGAGCAAATCAAGCAAAAATTACTGAGTTTAGATTACCCGGATCACCTTAACACACAAAAATAGATTTGAAATATATTATATCTCATTGAGATAAAGCCCAACATCTTTAGTGCATATAATGAAAGGATGGGGCTAATATGCATGAGAGCATGAACCTTTAGAAACTTAAGCACCTTCCTGATGTAGCTTTACAGTAGGCGGGTGAGCATCAATTGCTGATAAAGGGCTGTCAGGTAGATGCTTTTGCAACTCCAAAGGCAGAAGCTCATTGACACGAAACCATACCTGACATCAGAAATTTGCTTCACAATCCAAAACAGATACTATAACACTCTAGGAAAACACTCTAGGTTCCTGCACGTTAACGTCCAATCAAACAAAAAGCATGCCTGCGTGATGTCTGGCCTGGCATCTGGAGAACCTTGAATCATATCCTTGATTAGCCCTATCAAGGGTGCACTATATCTTGGCAAATCTGGAATGTGGTAGTTCACATTTATGATCTGCAGCTTAGAGTCACCATCAAATGCTGATTTTAGGTAGCAGATTCGGTACAGAAGGCATCCTAGAGCCTGCAAAACCAAATATGATTATGCTACAAGCTTCCTCATACAATCACTACCATATCCAAGATTTTTCTCAGGTAAGTGGGGCTTTTATGCAGTGGATTATTTTGAGAAGGCTCAAAAGTAGTGGAAGCTTTTATTTGGCATCCCTCCTGCAGTACATCTGCATTACGATTAATAATCATTCTGATTTGTTATGTATTCACATTCATAGATTATTACTGAATGTTTTATTAATATAATGTTTATTAATATAATTATTTTAGTCTACCATTTGATCATTTTAGTCCGAAGGCCACCATTCAGAGGAAATTAAACCAAACACATGGGAAAATAAGTTGCTAACCATAGGAAAAGTATGATTAAGTGTTGAAGACTCACCCAGATGTCTACCTTCTCACTGATAACATCCTTTCTGTAAAGATCCCACATCTGCAATTAGCAAAATAAAATTTCCCTCGCATGATGTCAGCAGCATTATATGAAGCTTAACTTAGGGAAAGTAAATACAAATATTATACCTCCGGAGCTCTATAAGAAGGAGTGGTGTGCTTTCTGATATTGTCCTCTTCAATTCCCATTTCTTCGGGTCTTGTGAAGCATTTATGATTCCAAGAAGTGCTGCCAAAGTCACAGAGTTTCCAGGCTCCATCAGATCCTAAAAGCACATTTTCAGCCTTTAGGTCTCTGCAAGATTCAGTGCTTAGGATGCCTCATCAATGATAATGTAGCAGTATATGTACAAAAATATGTAACTGTTAGTTTCCAAGAAAAAACAGTGGTCCCTTCATCAGTAGGCCAAAAGTATTATCACTGGATTAGCAAGAGCAAAAACTTAACTGAAAGCATTAAGTTACACTCACTTTTTCCTTAGTTAACTGGCTAATATAAACCATAGTTAATTTTTATATACTACAGTAAAATCAATAGCTAACATTGAGCATAGCAAATCCTTCGACTCAATTTGATAACATTGAAAATAAAAACACAGTAAAGATGGTTCATGCTAAAAACTGAGCAGATCAGTTATGATCTGGAAAATTAACGGACCAAGAATGAGGATATATCTTATAAGAAAAAACATACCTATGAGCAATGGGCGGATGTTGGCAGTGCATGGCAAACACTGCATTGCACACATCCCTAAAGCACAAAAGGATGTGTTTTTCTTCAAAAGAATAGGCTCCATTTTCAAGGAAAGTAACTAAAGACTGTTCACAGAACTCCATTACAAGTAGCACTTCCTTTGTCCTGCCCATATCCATTATGGCGTAGGACATAAGTTTAGTAATATTTGGTTGTCCCTTTAACAATTTCATAACTGATATTTCCTTCATCATAAGTTCTAGCGATTCTCCATCATTACAGATAACATGCTTTAGAGCATACTGCCTACTTGAATGTACAGCATCGCGAGCTATGTAAACACAAGAAAATCGTCCTTCTGCTATTGGATTTCTAACATGGACTTTCAAATTCCCTACATCTATTGAACGACCTTCTAAGCTGGTGGATTCTCTGTGACTAAATGGCTTGAACTTCCACATGTCCGGAAAGGCCAATGATTACATCTGCAAAAAAAGAATGGAAAAACAATTACCTATGGAGGTTAAAAGCCAGAAAATCTAAACTTCCTATTTCATAATGAACAAGATAGATTGCCAACAAATCTCAACAGTCAAAGAAGGTAGAGAATGCTAGTTTTGTTGAAGTTATCACATAACGAACGGTTGAAGTAAAAGTAATTTTTGCTGGCTTTCCAAAAATTAATTTTAAAAACATTGAGAAGAAGTAATGCCATTTGCAAATGAAATAATTCTTGCCAGGAGCCTAGGATAGCATAGCAGTTTCATGCACCGGCAATTTTTAAATTTTGAAAATAGAAGTTCAACGGTATGGCCTGATATCTAACATGTAATAGCATACCAATGAGCTTTCATGTTGCACATTCATCCACAACGTAAATATAAAAAAATTATTAAAAACCTATCTATTAAACAAATAGTATACAGTTCACTTTGAAAATCAATCGATGCCCTAATACTTTAACATCAATTAATAAACATGGTAGAGGTTTTAACAAAACAAAAACAGATTCACATATGAAAGTTTACAGATAGGTCATTCCATGAAATATGAATACTCTAAATCTAAAGTTCCAACATATTATGCTTCATCAACAGATGCTAATCAGTTGAAGCGATATATGATAAGCAATTTAATTGTGTGCTGGTACTTTCTTCCATACCACTAGTGTTATACTTTATGAACTCTGCATTTTATAAAGATCTGAATCACTTGTTATTCCAAATTTAGCCAAGTCAAAAATGAGGTTCATGCATCTACTTCGACATGATTTATAAAGAAAAGCATATAAATTAACAAGCTAGAGCATCCACATGCTTGTTCGATTAATATTAAAAAAATACTCTCTTGTTATATAATAAGTAGCCCTATCAGAGCTTGACTACATATAGGATTCTTCTTTAATGACTTATTTCATGTTCTTATAGTCTTGTTTTCATACAATACATTTTAGTAGAGTATACTAATTTAATTTATTTACTTTCAAAAGGATCATGTGGATTAAATCAATTCCTATGACCAAGTAAGAAGATGCATACATTTAAATCATAGCACCAAATATTGGGTATGTTAAGATATATTAAAATTAAATTGGATTTCACTTCAAGAAGAAATAAATCTGTAATTGAGCCCACAAAAATATATCTTATATACTAATGATTTTAAACACACAAAAAAAAATATGAACAAAACTTATTCATTGTTGTTCTAAACAAGTGATGCAATTCAATTGGTATGCTCAATTAAAAGGAATCAAATATTAATTAAAAGATAATATTAAATTAAATAAAAAAAATCTAACGATTTGCTGAATGCAAGCTTCCATCATACCATAACTCTATTAATATACTTCATCTAAATGGTTTAAGACAAAGGAAATTTGATTAAAGAAAATAAACTCACATAAACAAGCTACTAGATAAGCAATAAGATAGAATTTAACGAGCACTTCTTAAGCTACCTGTTAAACAAAAGTTTCCTTCCTTGTTCATAATATAATTAAATAAATCCACCATAGTCACTCTTTCATTTTGTATGATGAAAGTCAAAAGTTTAAATACCTCTTTAACATAGACATAGAAACTATAACTATTTTTTTAGAAATATTGTGCAAAAATTCTGCAATCCTATGTCTTTGAACCTTTGATTTTCTATGTTAAGCGTCAAAAAGTTCATATACCTTTTTAACATAGAAATAGAAACTATAATAAATTGCGCAGAAATTCTTCAATTATATGCCTTTGAACCTATGTCATCCTGAAGAAAAGTGAAATCGCAAAGAAAGTTTTTACATACATACCACAAAATTCTTAGGTATTAACATATTAAAAACTCAAATCTTTATATTTACTTAACACGTAATGTTCATATCTCTAAAAACAACAACAAACCTTTATCCCACTAAGTGGAGTCGGCTACATGAATTCTTTTTCTCCTCGTGTCCTATTGAGTGTCATATTTTCATTTAATTCTAATAAATTAAGATCATTTTTATACAACATGCCCAGGTCTTTTTAGGCCCGCATCTACCTTTTTAACATTAATCGAATCTAAAACATCTACTCTCCTAACCGGATCATCAGATAGTCGACATTTAATTTGACCAAATCATCTAAGACGATTATGTCTAATCTTGTCAGCCACCAGAACAACACAAACCCTTTTACGAATATATTCTTTTCACATTTTGTTTCTAAGTGTAAAGTCACCCATATACCTAAGCATTCTCATATCACAAACATCTAACTTAGGCCCTGTTTGGCACAGCTTTTTCAGAACGGTGGCGTTTTCAGAACGCTGTCAACGCGTTTTTTTCGCGCGTTCGTTCGGCGGCGTTCTGAACGTAGCGTCCCGCGGTTCCGTTTTTCTTCATTAGCCGGATCGCGGGGCCTCGGCTGCGTTCGGCGTTGGCTGTTGGCGTTAGGGCTCGAATTCCTTCTTTTGCCCTTGGTGATCTCTCCCGCGCTCTCCCCTCGCTTCCTCCCTCTCCGATCGAAAGCATCATTAGGGCTCGATTTCTCGTTCTTTTTCCCTCTCCGGTAAGATCTACTATTGTTTGTCGTTGG